GACTCCATGAGGGCCTGGCCCCGACGTGTGGGGGTCCCCCGGCCGCTCTAGTCCAAAGGGGTCGGTGCAGGGGAAGCGGTGCTAAGGGGCAGGCAGAGCCCAGAATTCCCACGGTCCCCAGCAGCCGCAGGGTGGGTGACCGGGGAAAACGGTGGGGAAAACCCCTGCCCGACATTCCCGGACGGCCCAGAACCTAGTCCAAAGGGGTCGGTGCAGGGGAAGCGGTGCTAAGGGGCAGGCAGAGCCCAGAATTCCCACGGTCCCCAGCAGCCGCAGGGTGGGTGACCGGGGAAAACGGTGGGGAAAACCCCTGCCCGACATTCCCGGACGGCCCAGAACGTGACCTCTCTGAGGCCCTCCAAGTAAAAGGGCACCTAGGGGTGCAGAAGGAGCCGTGGCATCCGAGTAAACAGCAGCGCCTGGGGTTTCCCTCGGCGCCCGGGGCTGGTCGGGATGGTACCGAAGAGCTCTGCGGCTCCCGTGACCTTACTCGGGTGAGCCCAAGGTTAGCTGCCGGCGCTGCTTTGAATGGGAAAGAGAAATGACTCGAAAGCCCCAGCCTGCCCCAGGGTATGGACAGAAGGTTTCCAGCCCCCCAAGGGTCCCTTGATTCCAAGGGAGTCACCCAAGCATGGCCGGGACCGTTCTTTCTAGTAGGCCAGGCTTTGTTCCCATTTACACTAGGGTGAGCCTGGAGTCGCGTCCCCCACACCGCGTCCCGATGGCGTAAACGAGGCTCCAATTCTCGGGCGGGTTCTGCCGGGCGCTGTCGGGTCTGTTCTTGCCTGGAGACTGATCCGGACTCCGGGGTTCTGTGGCCCGGCTCCGGGAAGGGAATGTGGTTGTGCTGCTAGAAGGGGGGGAGGCGTGAAAACAGCGATGTCTGGATTCTCTTATAGTGGCTGGAGCCGGGGTAGAGCGGTGGGGGGAAGAGGGGCTGGCAGCCAGGACTCCTGGGTTCTCCTGCCTTAGCCACTCGCCCGTTCTGTGACCTTGGCCAAAATCATTTCACCCTCGGGTGCTCTTGGTGGCGTGGGGAGAATGTTTCCCGGCCCCCCATCCCGAGGGGTGCTACAGCCCTTTCAGCGCCTCCGGGGAGCAGCGCCAGAGCTGGGCTCTGCATCAGGGTTCAGCCTCGGGCGCCAGGCAGCAGCTGAATCAGCGCGGAGGGCAGCCGGGCTCTGGCAGGACTTTCCTGCACTAGAATGTTTGGTCTCAGTGGGAGCTGCAGAGGAAGGAACC